GAGAAAAAGTATATTCTGCCACCTGTGGGATATCACTTTGATTGCCTCTGCTCATCGTTAATGTGTTTTCCAAGAAGCTGGCTTTCTCTATTCCATCATAATAGCATCTGATGAGAATAATGTGTGACATTTTCTGAAATTGACTTGAAAGCTTTCCAGCCATTATCAGACAAGCTCCTTGGTCTGTGAGATATTCTTTACAGATATGGCCAGAGACATCTTCATTTTCTTCCATCCCTGCTGATGTGGGTTTCTTATGAGGAGTCTTGAGAATGGGTTCAACTAAGTGATATTTTTTCATTTGTTTAAAAAGTAGTGTGACAGTGAAGAAAGATCTTCCATCTGCTTGTTCACCCCAAATTCCTACAACAGTTGGGCTGGGCGTGGTCAAAATCAGGAACCTGGAAACTGTAGCCAGATGTCTCACAGGAACTCAAGGGTATTGAGTCATTGTCCACTGTTTCCCAGGCACATTAGTAAGGGAGCTGATGTGGAAGTGGAGTAGCCACAACTGGCATTCCAGAATAATGCAAGGATCACAACCAATTGAGGCTGTGGTGTTGTATACACTACCTGGGTTTGCTCCTTGCAATTACGCCATACGTCTTGCAAAGCATGTATCATGCAAAGGAAGAGTTTTATTAACCAGAATTATCTGTTACTTTTTTTTTTAAGATGTATTTTTATTGCAAAGTCAGATATACAGAGAGGAGAGACAGAAAGGAAGTCTTCCATCTGATGATTCATTTCCCCAAGTGACCACAATGGCTGGAGCTGAGCCAATCCAAATCTAGGAGCCAGGAGTTCTTCCAGGTCTCCCATGCGGGTGCAAAGTCCCAAGGCTTTGTTCTGTCTTGGATTGCTTTCCCAAGCCACAGGCAGGGAGCTGGATGGGAAGCAGGGTTCCTGGGATATGAACCAGTGCCCATGTGGAATCCTGTAGTGTTTAAGGTGAGGACTTCAGTGGCTAGGCTACTGTGCTGAACCAACCCCCCCCACCCTCCGCCACCTTTTAAAATAAGATTTACTAATTTATTTGAAAGAACTAGGAAGATGGAGATATTCTACATCCTCTGGTTTACTCCTCAGAGCTGGACCAGGCGAAGTCAGTAGCTAATCTGGGTTTCCCACATGGATAGAAGACACTCAAAGAATTGGGATGTCGTATTAGGCTTTCCAGGCTATTAGCAGGCAGCTGGATAGACAGTGAAGCACCTAAGACATGAAGTAGTGCCCGTAAGGAATATCAGCATTGCAGGCACCAGCTTCCCCACCGTATCACAACTCTGACCCCACCCAACATGCCGTGTGCAGATGTTTTGTTTCACTTTTGTTTTTCTTTCCATGTAATAGAGTATAGTAATCTCTTTAGACCTGTAATTTGAAGTTGATAGTCAATACTTTTCAGTAAGAACTCAGTGTCAAACTGATGCTTGGCACATAATAAAGACTGAGTGAATGGCAACTAATAAAGTATTTTGCACATTTTCTTTCATGCATACATTCCTTTAACCTAAATTGGATATGAAGTTACTAATGATCTTTTTTGGTGGTTGTTCTTGCAGAGAATCAGAAACCAAAAATGAAAAATGTCAGACTTGTCAGTATGTCAGGTTTTTTGAGAAACATCTGTACTATTTTTCCATAGAAATGCTAATGGCTTATCAAGCTTCATACATTTTTATTTTTCAATTCTTTAAATATTTATTTATTTATATTGGGAAGTCAGATATACAGAGAGGAAGATCCTCCATCTGCTGTTTCACTCCCCAAATGGCCACAGTGGCAGGCGCTGATCTGATCCGACCAGTCTGAAGTCATGAACCTTGAGCCTCTTTCTGGGTCACCCGCATGGGTGCAGGGTCTCAGAGCCCTCGGCTGGCCTCTACTGCTTTCCCAGGACACAAGCAGGGAGCTGGACAGGAAGTGGAGCTGCATGGACAAGAACTGGTGTCCATGTGGGATCCTGGCACATGCAAGGCAAGGACTCTAGCTACTAGGCTAATGTGCTGAGCCCCATACATTTTTTTCTACTTTTTATTCTATAGCTATAACCTTGGAGCTCTATGTTCTTTTTATGTATTTTTAAAAAATGCTCTAAAATTAAAACTTCATAATGTTATGGGGGTAGCTCTTATGTCTTAAGTTTGGTTTCAAGACTGTAATTACAAAGATAGAAACCTGTAAAACTATATGAGAAGGGGATGTAGGTTGATTAGATGGAAATTGTTAATGTTTGTATGGATGTATAGACATGTTTTCAAAATGGCATTAAAGCTGAGCAGATATGTGGTGTGTAACAATCCTTGGCTTCCCCACGCTTCATATGCTCCCCCCCTTTTTTTCCTAGCCTCTTAATTTTCATGTTAAGAAAATGACATTAGGAAAAGGGCATTGTTTTTGTTGCAGTTTTTAAAACATGACCTTGACATTTGTCTGTGGAGAAAGGAAGCTATTTGTTGAAGCTCCCACAGCCAGCTGTTATTGTGTGCACTTGCGCTGCTGTGTCTTTGCATTTGAAAGCGTTTTTCTTTATTCCTGAAATGTTTATCAGTTTGCCCATGAGAAACAAAAGCTAGTGGCTCAAGTGCCATCCCACTTACTATATGGAGTGACAAGAGGCAGATGTGAATTTCATGCTAAGCCAATCCAAAGCAAAGTGTTCTTGTATCTGCTTGGATCTAGGGTTAGCTTGTAGACCGCAGACCTGGCTGTAGGACAAGGCTGTGGTCTGGCCTGTTTATGCTTGTTACCAAGTAAAACCAAAACAAGGCCATGTATCTTCTCAGCCTCTAACCAGTCCATGAGTTACCTGTACAAGAGACCACAGGATAGAAGGTGGACTCTGAAAAAGGCCAGAGTTTCTAGGATTCTGGATGTTCCTAGAATGGAGGGTATGTCTCCTGTGTGTTGGTTCTCCCAGCAAAGCTCTGTAGTTATTTTTTAACTCCTTGCACATTGTTACTTTAGAACCATTGTGTTGAAGTAGGAGTTGGACTGAAAAGGTTCCTGTATGTGCAAGCTTATTTTTGATGTCTGTTGCGTATGGGATAAATCTGAGAACTGCTCATGGCCATTAATGGTGTCCTTGATGTGGCCCTACCTGAGGCCACAGGTACATCAGATGACAAGGGTGCGTTCTGGGTCTGCTCAGTGTACACACACAGACCCAGCGGTACAGAGCTTTTAATTGTTGTGGTAATATATCCTTAATATAAAATTTACCATTGCAGCTGTTTTCATGTGTACAGTTCAGTGATTTAGATCTGCGTGTTTTTGTCTCTTCAGAATGCTGAGAATTACAGCTGTGGGTGAGGCAGCTCAGGTTCTGGCCCCGGAGAAATGGTCACAGAGTGTAGTCAGATCTGAACAGGCAGTTGCATGGTGATGGATACCCTGAGGAAGCAACCCAGGTAGTGGATGGGTAATTACGACTGGAGGGGTGACCTTATGCGTAAGGCACAGTTTTCTGGGGAAATACTTAAATTGAGTATGAGAAGGAAACAAACAGGACAAAGTAGGCATCATTCCAGGAAAGAACTTTGATCAGTTTTGCTTAAGCACGTGCTGCGTTTGCCAGTCATTTTGCTTGATTCTTCTCCACTGTGATAGCTGCATACCAGTCAGACAAATGTAGCTTTTGGGGTATGAAATGTGCTTTGTATCTCTTCAGTACGAACAATGTGATTATTAATGGAAGCATTGCTTTCATTTTTGAGTACAGGTGACATTTTCTGCATCAGTGAAAATTATTTTTAAGTTTCCTTTGATATTTGCTGTAAGTTTATTCTTTGTACATTTTTTGCTTTTAATTAGGAAAGAATTGGTAATATTAAGTAAAACAGCAAAGGTATCGTGTGGGTAATTTTTATGTTTCTTTTTTTAAAGATTTATTTATTTTTATTGCAAAGTCAGATACATACCGATAGGAGGATAGACAGAGAGGAAGATCTTCCATTCGATGATTCACTTCCCAAGTGACCACAATGGCCAGTGCTGCACCAATCCGAAGCCTGTAGCCAGGAACTTCCTCCTGGTCTCCCACACAGGTGCAGGGTCCCAAGGCTTTGGGCCGTCCTTGACTGCTTTCCCAGGCCACAAGCAGGGAGCTGGAAGGGAAGTGGAGCTTCCGGGATTAGAACCGGCGGCCATATGGGATCCCAGCATGTTCAAGGTGAGGAGTTTAGCCGCTAGGCCACTGCACCTGGCCTAGTTTTTTCGTTTTTAAAAGATTTTGAAATAAAAATTATTTTGAGAATGGCACACACACACTCACATGCACACACAGAGAAAAACAGGGAAAGAAGGAGGATAAGATACCTTCCATTCTTTAGTTTGCTTCTGAAATGCTCACATTGGCCTGGCCTGGACCAAACTGAAGTTAGGGCTTAGGACTCCAAGTTATGGATCTGTAGCCGCGTGCTTGGCGGATTCCCAGCCACCTAGGCTGTCTTCTGCTGCCCTCCTAGGCACAGTTAATCGGGAGCTGGATTGGAAGGGATGTAGCTGGGACCTGAACTGGCACTCTAGTAGGGCATGGAAATGTTTTAAGCAGCGGCTTAATCCATTTTGCTACACTCCCTGACCAGCAGTGGGCCTCTTCAGACGAGATGGGGCGCATTCAGGGTGGTATGCCCATAGACTGGTGGGCCTCTTCAACACTGTTCCCTATGTCTGGCTCCTATGACTTTCATTCCATCTGATTTTGGCATGTTTACCCATGATTATTCCTGCTACTGGTCATTGATTTCTTTATGCTGTGTGCCAAGGATTTTACTAAACATGCTATCATTTTTGTCTAATCTTCACAGCTCTGTGATATGTGTAGTTTTCTTCATTAAAAAAATAAAATACAATAGGTAAATGTTGTACCTAGGATTCCAGCCCAGCTTGACTCCAGAGGACGAATTCTTCTCTCAGTATTTGATGTTTTTTCATATTTGAAGTTAATGTGTAGTGATTTACAAATCATAATTTTTTTCCTATTGTTTTTTCTCTAGGTTTCTGTCAGGATGAATTGGCAGAGCTCGATCCAGGCACTAGTAAGTTCTGAGTGTTAGCTAATATTCATTAATAAGTATGTGTTTACTTTTAAATGTACAACTTACATTGTTGTAAATTTTTTTGACTTTCAGATTTTATTTTACTTTAGTTTGTGATTATGAGGAATTTGTTTTTTGCAGTTATACTTCTAACTCTATTCAGTGGCTGTGACTTATTTATTAGAAAGTTGGTTGTTATTAATACCGATTCTCTTATGAAGGAGCAGCAACAACAATTGTACTCTGACTTCTGCACAGTATAGCTGTTTACTCACACCTACTCTTGAAAAGTATTGAGTAATGTTGACTGTTGATTTCAAATAAGATTTGCCGGGGTTGGAAATTTGCCAATTGGGAAATCTTCATGCCACAGTTTAATTTCTAAAGCATTTGTGTCTACATTTTTAAGATTAAGATATGGGAATGATTATTTCAAGTGTCATAAAATAATGCTCTTCAGAATTACGTAGACATTGAATGTATAGATCATCATTTTGAGTTTCCGGTGTTTTCAAAATGTGGCATGCATCATTTTGGGATATGGTTATGATTGTTAGAAATAGAATGTGGGTATATCCACTGTCTAACAGAACTCATATTGCTGTAATTCCACAAAATCAAATGCTAATTTAGATTAAGATTTGTGAGAAGCTTTAGAATGGTTTTCCTGGTCCTAGTGTTCTTTAGGACCCTAGGACTGACTGTATGCCACCAGCGCTGTTGGAGTTGGATGCCGCTCACATTTTGACCATTCTGGCTGCTACCAGCTCTCAGGATATGGGCCTTCTCCACAGCTTTTCCCCATATATGCATAGATGGTATAAATAGCCGTGTTCTTTGCCTAACAGTGTTCATTGTGAAAGAAAACAAATCCCGTTATGTTGAACAAACATTAGGAAAGTGGGTTTGTCTCTTTTTTTGGAAGTTATAAAATTCACAGCTCTGTCTTAAGTAGTATGGTTGCGCCATAGCAGTAACTGGTTGAACATAGATCTTGTCCCTTTCGTTTTGTTGGAAATGGTCTTTGGTTAGGCAGAAGAGGTCAATTCAGTTATTTTTTTTTTAGTCATGCTCCTTTGTTCGGAGTGTTTTTTAAACAGTAGGACGGACCTTGAAATGCCCTGTAATCTTTCGGACAGCTAAATGTTAGACATTCCAAACAGTGAAAAACCTAGTTTATGAAACTTGTGGCGTGTCTTTCCCACAGGCCCAGGTAATATATATAAAAATATGTATTTAAGATTTATTTATTTTTATTGGAAAATCAGATTTACAGAGAGAAGGAGAGACAAAAAGAAAGATCTTCCATCTGCTGTTTCACTCCCCAAGCGGCCACAATGGCCGGAGCTGAGCTGATCCAAAGTCAGGAGCCAGGAGCCTCTGGGTCTCCCACATGGATTCATGTTCCCAAAGCCTTGGACCATCCTCCGCTGTTTTCCTAGGCCTCAAGCAGGGAGCTGGATTCGAAGTGGGGCTGCTGGGATTAGAACCAGTGCCCATATGGGATCCTGAGGCATACAAGGCTAGGACTTTAGCCACTAGGCTATGGTGCAGGGCCTCAAAAATATATTTTAAAGCATGTTTAGACTTCAAATTTGGTATGCAGTAGTCCATCTTACCTTCTTTTTTGTACTTGGTAGAGTTGAAAACAGCAAATGCCCACTATCTGGGTAAAGACTGCTGGTGCTGTCATGAAGGTTATTGCTGAATTACTCTTTCTTGACCGAGTACCTTGCTCATTTCATGTTTCTCCACAGGCTCCCTGGCTGTATGTGGTTTGCAGACCTCTGCATTACATGAGAATGTACAGATACTGAAACAATTTTATACAGCAACATAGAATGAGAATCTATAAAAAGACAGTTTTTAAAAAAATATTCGAGGGCCCGGCGCGGTGGCATAGTGGTCCTCGCCTTGCACGCCCGGGATCCCATATGGGCACCGGTTCTATCCCGGCAGCCCCGCTTCCCTTCCAGCTCCCTGCCTGTGGCCCGGGAGGGCAGTCGAGGACGGCCCAAGGCTTTGGGACCCTGCACCTGTGTGGGAGACCCGGAAGAGGCTCCTGGCTTCGGATCGGCATAGCATCGGCTGTTGCGCTCACTTGGGGAGTGAATCATCGGACGGAAGATCTTCCTCTCTGTCTCTCTGTATATCTGCCTTTCCAATGAAAAAATAATAAAAATAAATCTTAAAAAAAATATTCATCGAGTTACAGTTACTCCTGTAATATTTTTGTGAAGCTCAGCACTGTTTTCATTTTTTCTCTTTGAGAAAGTACATAAGAATTTTATTTTTAGAATAAAAATAGACAAAAGCAAGATTTTGTTCATTGTACGATCTTGGGGCTCTGTTGAGCCCTTCCAAGTGATAGGAAACCATGAGATTGAGTGGAAGGGACTGCACTATGGCATAGCCAGCATCCCACATTGTCACCGGTTTGAGTCTTAGCAGCTCCACTTGGCAGTTCATCTCTCTGCTAGTGCATATGGGAAAGCAATGGAGAATGGTCTGGGTACTTGAGTTGTGCAGGAGACCTGATTTCTACCTTGCGGAGCCCTGGCTGTAGTGGCCATTTTGAGGGGGGAGTAGCCAGTGGATGGAAAATCTCTGTGTCTGTCCTTCTCTGTAACTACCTTACAAATAAATAAGTCCTTAAAAGCAAATCTTTTGGGAAAGATTTGCAATGGACTGTATGTGGTAAGTTTATTATGATGATTTTAAAAAGACCTGTTTCTTGACTTGAAATGCAGAGAGCTACAGGATGGGTAGGAAGATCTTTCATCTTGTGCTTCACTCCCCAGATGGGCTGTAACAGTGGGGAGCCAGGGCTCCAGACAGGCCCAAGTCCTGGGGCCATGTTTTGTTACTTTCTCCGGTGCATTAGCAGGGAGCTAGATCAGAAAGAGAACACCTGGGACTGAACCAGTGCTCAAACATAGTCAGTGGCTTAACCCCCTGTGCCATAGTACCAGACCCTGATTAAGATTTTTAAAACTCAAATCTGGATTCTGATTGGGAAGAAATAGCATATCTTGTTAATATTTGTGGTTTTTGCACATTAGATTAAGATTAATTGGATTTTCTCTGTGTTCTGTCTTTGGAATTTGGAAGCTGCTGGGCTCTCCCTCTCCCTTCTCCATGTGCGTGACAGAGTTAGTCTGATCACAGCTTGCTTATTTTGGGAAGCAAATATCTTCACTGCTAGTTTCTAATTATGGTTGGTGGTGGATATAGACAGCAAGTTGGGGACAACAAATATTTTAGAAGTAAAAATTGGGGAAAAGACTCATATTGCCTTTTTTTTTAAAAACAGACTTTGAGTGGTGGAGCAGATGGGCACCGTGGTTAGCCTGTGGGCAGCTGCCTGCTGTGGCTCCTGGGCTTCCTGGAGTCCAGTGTGATGGTGCAGGTTCAGGCTAAGTTCATTTCTACAAGAAGGGTCCCTGCACTCTGCCCATTAGCATAAGCTAGGGCCAAGGGCAGGCAAAGGTCAAGAGAAGTTCAAGACGTAACCTCTATGTGCTTCTGTTGCCAAATAACCCCAGTTCGCCTTGGTGCCCAAATTTTTTCCTCGGCCATCGTGTTTGCCGTGTAGCTGTAAAATCCAAGAAGAGAACAAGGACCGATTTGATGCAAGAGAAGTTAGAGAATAGAAGTCATTGTCGCTTAAAACAGGAGAAATAATTGATTTATGTTTGGGGCCAATTAGGCTATAAAACAGGAGCAGTGAAGGGACCTGTGGTTGCAGGGCAGCGTTCCTCGCCCTGATTTCTGTCCCACAGACAAGGAACTCCCCTCTGAAGGCTGTCAACTTTCTAAGCTGAATTATTCATTCCTGTCATGCCTCTCAGGGATTGTAAACAGCACATAAGACACAGAAACAATTGGCACTGTTCAGTTAGTGGCCAGATACAGGGTCAAAGGGTAAATAGTTGGATTAGTACCAGCTGTTCTTCCTTCCCTGTCAAACTTGGGTCTCTTATTATCTATTTCAGCAAGGTTTTTTTCCATGAATTTTTGGGTCTACAATTCCTCTTGCAATCTTAAGAATAATTACATCAAGAATAAATAGTGACCCAGACTGAAAATACCATTTTAATACAGTTTGTGGAATTGAAGATAAGTCTGATGTATGCTGAGCATATTTTCTGATGTTCATAGGATATTGTCCCAAGGAAAGTAACTTCTTGAAGTTAAACAGATTAGGTTTGTTTTTCTCATCAGTAGTTGAGGATCTTGGCTCAGCTTGGTTAGAGGAAATAATTACTTTTGTTTTAACTGGAAGTAAAATAACGTGTGCTCATCATGGAAAAGACTAAAAGATAAATCCAAGTCTATGGTGCTAGAAATAACTATTGTTTCTCATTTGAGAATATGTCCTTTTACTTTGTGTTTGAGCTTATCTATTCAATATTTGATTGATTGATTGCTTTGAACAATGGGATTTTTGGGCCTAGTGCAGTAGCCTAGTGGCTGAAGTCTTCACCTTGAAAGTGCCTGGGATCCCATGGGGGTGCCGGTTCTAATCCCTGCAGCCCAGCTTCCCATCCAGCTCCTTACTTGTGGCCTGGGAAAGCAGTCAAGGAGGGCTGAAGCCTTGGGCCCTGCACTTGTGTGGGAGACCAGGAGGAAGCTCCTGGCTCTTGCCTTTGGATTGGCTCAGTTTCGGCCATTGCGACTGGTTGGGGAGTAAACCATCCGACAGAGGATCTTCCTCTCTCTCCTACTGTCTTTGTATATATCTGCCTTTCTAATGAAAATAAATCTTTTTTTTAAAAAGTGGATTTTTAAAAACGATGTATTTATTTTTATTGCAAAGTCAGATATACAGAGAAGAGGAGAGACAGAGAGGATCATCTTCTATCCCATGATTCACTCCCCAAGCAACCGCAATGACTGGTGCAGTGCCGATCCAAAGCCAGGAGCCAGGAGCTTCCTCCAGGTCTCCCATGCAGGTGCAGGGTCCTAAGGCTTTGGGCCGTCCTTGACTTCTTTCCCAG